ATTATTTTTTCATTACCCACTCTCAACATCAACTCACCTTGTTGCACGTCTATTAATGCTCTCCCTGTAGCTAAGAATGGTCTTCCCAATATAATTGAGACTTTTGTGTCTTCCTCCATGTCCAGCACCACAAAGTCAGCTGGAAAAATGAACTTATTCACTTTCACTAAGACATTCTCTACCACTCCATAAGGATAGGTCACTGAACGATCAGCCAATTATATAGTAATTCTGGTCGGTTTTACTTCTCCAATCTCCAATCTCTTGAAAATGGATAGTGACATTAAATTGATGCTTGCTCCAAGGTCACATAATGCCTTGCTCACCATTAAATTTCCGATTTCACATGGAATGACAAAACTTCTTGGGTCTTTCAACTTTGGGGGTAGCTTTTGCTGAATTATGACACTGCACTCCTTTGTCAGCATTATAGTCTCATTTTCCTACAGTTTTCATTTTCTGGACAGCAAATCCTTCATGAATTTTGCATAGCCCGACATTTGTTCCAGTGCCTCAGTAAATGGAATATTGATCTAAAACTTTTTAAAAACATCTAGAAATTGTACAAACTTTTTTTCTTGTTCTTTCTTCTTTAACCTTTGAGGGAATGGTACAGTGGGTACAAATTCTTTTATCTTGTCACTCTCACCCCCTTTTTTCTTCTCTCCCTCTTTTTCTTGCTCACAATTCCACTCGGTTTTTTCTTTTTCTCTCTCTTTTTCACTCTCACTCTCTTTTTGCTCCACAATCTCTGTATTTTGTTGCTTTTTCTATTTTGTCACCACACCTTTTTTCTCATTAGCTATTACCTTTCCACTCCTCAGTTGTATGGCTTTACAATGTGCTTTTAGATTCACTACAGTGTCACTAGGAAAGGTACTAGGGGTTCTTTCTGAGAGTTGTCTTGATATCTGCCCAATCTGGGTTTCAAGATTTTTGATTGAAGCTTCTTGATTCTTGAAATTTGTTCTGGTTTCATTCATGAAGTGAGAAGTTTGTTCCACAAAGCTAGATGTCTGCATAGATAATTTCTCCAAAGCATTTTTCAAAGTAGACATTCTAGTCCCTTGAAAGTTGGTTCGTGCTTGATTGTTAGGAACCGTGGAGTATTGATATGGGGGTCTTGACTGTTCAGGCTGGCTTGGATTACCCCATTGCCTGCTTGACTGATTTCTCCAATTTGAATTATAATTGTTGAACTGACTGTGTTGTTACTGTTGTACAACATTTGCATGTACTTCTTGTTGATTAATTTGACAGTCACCATTTTGATGCATTCACCCACCAAAATCACATACCAAAGTTGGTGTGTTAATAGTTTTAACCTGCATACCCCCTAACTATTGAGTTAAATCTGTGATTTGTTGTGTTAGTAGCTTATTTTGAGCTAAAATGGCATCCAAAATACTAACTTCCAGCACTTCAACTTTCCTATTTTGACGATCAAATTGCATGTGTAATGTATTATTTGCCATTAATTCCAGGGTTTCTAAGGCTTCCTCTAGTGTTTTCAGGTTGAATGATCATCCACTGACAGCATCCAACATTGCTTTAAAAGTCGGAGAAAGGGCATTGTAAAAAATTTGCACCTGCAACCAATCTGGCAGTGCATGATGAGGGCATCTTCTTGTCAACTCCTTGAACCTCTCCCATGCATCATACAAAGATTCAAATTCCTGTTTCATAAAGCTGGTGATCTCATTCCTCATCCTTGCTGACTTTGCTGGAGGGAAGTATTTGTTTACAAATTTTGTAGCCAAATCATCCCAAGTAGTGATGCTTCCTTGAGGTTGTGATTGGAGTCATCCTTTGACTTTGTCTCGTAATGAAAAGGGAAAAAGCCTCAAGCGGACTGCATAATTAGTGGCTCCATTAATTTTCAATGTGTCGTAGATAGCAAAAAAATTCTCTAGGTGAGAATTTGGATCCTCTGAAGGTACACCTCCAAACTGATTTTGCTGTATAACCTGCAACAGAGAAGGTTTAATTTCAAAATTATTTGCTTGTATAGGAGGTCTAATAATACTCCCCTTGTAACTATTTGGATCTGGCATGGAGTAGTCCCTCAGTGTTCTTTTGGGCTGCTCCATGACTGCAGTATATAAATTGTGATTTGCTTCTTCTTGTTCTCTTCTCCTTTCTTTTTTTCTTTTCCGTGCACTTCCTCTATTTCTTCTGGCAGTACGTTCAATTTCTGGATCAAACAGTAAATTTTCTGGTGCTACAGTACCTCGCACAAACAGTGTTAAAAGGTACAGAAGAGAAGCAAAGAAAAGAAAAAAAAATTGGAACAATAAAAAAAAACTATAGCTTAAATCAAGTAAAAAAAACTTTCTAATATCAACAAAAATTTTCAATCCTTGGCAACGGCGCCAGGAAATTGATGTGTATTTTTGGTAAGTGGACCAAATGTTACAAAAGTAACCATTTTATCGTCCTCAAGGATTGGATATTTGTTGAATACTAGAGCATTAATTTATCCTAAGTTTGAGTACTCAAAGTTTAAAAGAATAACAACAAAAAAAATAATTTTCTTTTGCAGTAAAATATATGTTAGAGGATTAATTTCATATCCCTTCTTACAAATTCCTAGCCTATTTAATTAATGCAAGAATTAAATTTACCCACTAGAGTTAAAAGTGTTATTCACTTCCTAATCCCTTAGGTAAGTAAAATTATTCACTAAATTTTTAATTTTCCAATTCCTTGGAAGAAGAAAAATTCACTGAACCTTGGATGGTTAATATTTTGCTCCACAGAAACTAGTTAAGCTTGTATAATTTTCCAATTAAACAAAAACCCAACTTACCTTATCTATCAACATAAACAATATCAATTTTTCCAAATCTAACTGCTCAAAATTAAATATCACAAACCATAGATAAAGTACTGGAGTAAATGAAATTACAATGCATAAGATAAATAGGTTCAGAATTTGTCTTACAGAATATTACATTAATCCTCTAACATAGGAAAAAAAGTTTAGCCTTCCATCAAAGTTTCTAAAAACTCAAAACCTAAAAAATTTCTACACTGCTTCCTTCTTCCACCCCCTTTGGTTCTGCTCTCTCCTTAGCTTTTAACTTTCGTAGTCCCTTTCCACGTCAGCCCTCCTTTCTGCACTTCCGTCTTTGCTCTGTTTCAGCCTAAGCCTAATAGCAAAGAAGATTAAGAACTCCACTGTCAACCTATGAGTGATGCCAGTCACGCAAGCCCACACCAAAATTGTTCTAATTGCACCTGCTTTTTCAATAAAATAGAGAGACTACACTACAAGTTAAATGTAACGGTAAAATATAAAAACATTGTTCAACTATTACAAAAATACATGCAATTGACCTAATTTAATCTATAAATGTGAGGAAAAATAAACATGCATCATATAGATGATTATATAGATGATGAATGTTTAAAAATTTAATTACATTATAATATTTTATAACTATTTTATCATATGCGGTATGTGGTGTGTTATGATGATTGTGTTTTGATACATAAAAACATATTATTTTAAATATTAGACAATTTTCTATTAATTAGTATATATATATATATATATATATATATATATACTAGAAAGAAATATTTTGTAAATATTTATTATGATAATAATAGAAATAATATTTTTTAAAATAAATTATTTATTATATTAAATCGTGGATTTGAGTTATAATAATAAAATTAATATATACATAACAGTTTTTTTTATGTTTGTTATTTTAGATTTTTTTATCTTTGTTTAAGTTTTCATATTAAGGTAGAAGATATAAATTTATGTCTGATATAATTACGTTTGATGTTTAAAAGAAAATATCAAAAAATTAATTTTATTAACATAAATAAAAACAAGATAATCATAATAACAATAACACCAATTATGACAATGATTTCATTAACAACATTAATTACAAAACTAATCACCACAACAACTTCAATTTTTTTATGATTTTCATTTCAAATTATATATATCATTAATATTTTCTTAATGATGAGTGAATTCAATAATGTTCTTAGTATTTTTTTATTGACAATTGATTTTATATTGCCTTAATATTTTGATAAGTTATAAAAAAACACAATCAAATAAATTTTTTATCCATAATATTTATATTTTGTCAAATAATATTAATTTATCAAATCATTAAAAATCGATTTGGTTTGGTTTAGATTACATATATAAGTGTCTAAACCAACTTAACCATATATTTTCAATTAAATTATATTTTAAAATAGTTTAAATTTCACCCAACCCAAAAATATTATCTATCATCAAATTATAACATAAATTATTATATATAAATGAATACAAATTATGCATCAACGAAGTTTACATTTACATAATCAATTGTATAATCTCAAGTCTATATTTTCGAAGATGTAACATTAGAAAACAATTTTGGAGAATTCAACAATACAAGGTAAGCTTGAAAGTTCACTTCTTGTTTCTGGGGTTGATCCATATATTGAAACAAAATACTTTCACAAGTCTATTTATGCATCCTTAAATTCTCACAAAAAGTACATTAGTTCAAACAAAAATAGAGTATAATTGAGCATATATTAAAAAATAGAATGTAGGCAAAAATAATAGTAGTTAATTTTTTATGATATGGAAACAAATTTAAAGTAGGTGGTCCAATAATTTATCAACTCTCACGTCCTTTTGCTACCAAACAAATTACAGAACACAGCACAGCACTGAAGAAACAAGTTCTGGCAGAGTTTAGCGCACAATTTTTTGGTGTTTGAAATGAATTTACGTATATACATTCTCCACATCATTAATGGTTTGGGTAGGTCCATGCAACCTATCATTATTATATTAAAGTCACATCTTGTGGGCCCCACCACACTCCGCGTGTCACCACGCCTACTCATGTTTTAATTTTCACTTCAAATTTAAGTATTCATATATTTCTATTTTGTTTTAATGGTCCGAATTTTGATGTTAGAGGTTAGATTGTCAATTACGCTTGATTAAGCCCAGTCGCCTAACAGGGATGATAACAACTGCATATTTCAATTTTCCTTACAAGACCGCGGTATCTCGGTAGATTAAGAATAAGACAACATAAGAGAAATTTTAATATATTTTAGACAAAATTTTTAATTTTCCATAAAATATTACTACCTGTATTTGTGCAGTTGCCCAGCAGACTTAGGTTATGTTTGGTTGGAGTGATTTGAGAGGAAATGAGAGTGTGGAAATGGAGGAATTTGAAGAAAAATGGAGGTAAAATTAAAGTTGTTTGGATGAATGGAAAGTGAAAGAAATGTTTATGGAAAATTGTGAGTGATTTGATTGATATGAGATATAAAAGTTATAATTTTAATTGATTATTTAAGAAAATTACTATTTTACCCTTGTGTATAAAATAAGGTTAAAATTATTATAAATATAATTTTTTAAATTAATTATCCATATTTTAACATTGATTATATATTTAAAAGAAAAAACAAATTTAAAAGTGTTTGTAAGTGGAAACAAATTTAAAAAATTAAATTTTTTTTAAATAGTTATTAAAAAATATATAAATAAATAATTACAAAATTATTTACATTCCATATCCATAAAAAAATAATTTTGACATATTAAATAAATTATTTGACTAATAATTAAATAATTATAAAATATATAAATAATAATTAATATTGACTAATAATAACAAATAATTATGAAAACTAATAATATAATTGTAAATTATTATTTTAAATAAATATAAAATATAGTGAAAATAAAATAATAACTAAATGAAAATTTCATGTAAACTTAATAGTAAAAATATTTTATTTCCAACTTTGCATCATTTGTCATTACAAGCTTATCATGACACTTATGGCAAATGTACTATCTACTTTTCTAGGTCGATTGCGGGCACCACCGTGCGCATTCTTCTCGATGGTGGCAGCTTCGACAACTTCATTCGAGATGGAGAAGATTCGAAAAGGAAATCTCAATCCAATCGTTGGGTGAATAACGAGTGAAGAGCTCCTGAATGAATCTTAAAGTATTTTGAGATCTTTATAGCAGATCATTCAATCACTTCCACTCAAGAACATGAACAACTGGGAGAAACGAAGATGTGAGGGCAAACTAAAAAGTCGTTTAACATGTGATTCGTGAGTACACAAATGATTATAACACTGAAGCATAAGTTGTTCGTCATTTAGGTTCATGCCGACTAACATGTCCCATATATCTGACTCGGAATGTTGAAATGTTGATGATCGTCTCATCACATTAACTTGCTCATTAATTAAATCATTTCTGCGTTCAATGGCGACCACTTGTCTTTCAGCTATGTCAGATAATCGTTGGGTCAATGTATTACCTTGACCAAGGTAATCTGTAAATGTGTCCAGCCTCGTCGTTAGTTTGTCAAATTGACCTTCCATCACATCAACCATAGGCGTTTTCTTTTTGTGCCCGAGATGAAGAGGTTCCACCCGAACCGATGAGACGCAACATATGACAATGACTGAGCACCCTCAACAGGACTGTCGGAACCCATGCGTGGAGGTGATCGATAAGTTGTATCAAATCCTGCATCAAAGCCAAAGTGAAATGGTCGCTCCTCCAGTGTGGGGTCCACATCAACGTTCAAGTCGATCGTTGCCCTTCGAGAACCGATATTCACTCGGATCGACGCGAAGTTCTTGTCATATGTCCAAGTGGCTCGATCAACACCCCACAATTCTTCCATCAAATCAGAAGGCTTCGCCTACAAATTAATGAAAATGGTTAACACTCGTAATTGTTATGTTTTGCTATATCAACAAATGATAATTCATATAATAGTACTTTGATTAGGTCATCCCATACTTCTTGCTCAGCCATAAACCGTTTTGTGATATCATCCCAAGCGAATCCACTAAGTCCATGAAACAAATCGTGGACCTCCCGCCATCTATGCTTAAGACTTTTTTGTCGATTTTTAACATTATTTTTAGTTATACCAATTAATCCAGATCTGTCTTAGGGATTCAACTATATTATTATATGTTTGGGTTGTCCAACTACCATCAACCCGATTACCCAACCTTGCCTCATGAAGCATAGCAGTCAACAACCGAAAGTCCATGTCATCAGTCCATTTTGTAAACTCGCGCACTACAGTTGACGAATTCGGTGCAATATCCTTTCCTCTCGTTCATTTTAAACCTATTGGAAAGATAATATATGTAATTACGATACCAATATATAATTAGTATAAATAGATAATCGTAATGTAATCGTATTTGAACAATAACAATAGTACATCTCATTAAATATATTTTTTTATAAGTGACCCATATATGAATAATTAATTAGAATAAATTAGAATAAATGTTAACCGATCTTATAAATTAATTATATATATATATATATTCTAAAATATAATTTTATTTTATTTCTATAATATATATATATATATATATAAATGAAAATAAGTTATATTTTGGAATATATATTTTATATTATAGTAATTAATATAAATTATATTTTAGAATATATATATATATATATATATATATATATATATATTAGTTAGTTTTGCTTTCTTATCAAAATAAAAAAATCTATTTAGGATTAGATAGCGGTTATAGATTTAACCGCTATCTAAAACGTATTTTAGATAGTGGTTGTCCATTTAACCGCTATCTAAAACATGTTTAGATAGCGGTTAACATGGAACCGCTATCATATATCAATGTCTAGCGCCATTCTGATCGATTAAAGTTTCAAATGATCGATTATATTCGAAATTTTTTTCAAATAATTAATTATAATCGATTAGTTTTTTAAATAATTGATTACAATTGATTAGTTTTTCAAATAATAGATTATAATTGATTAATTTCTCAAATATACATTAAATTAAAATAAAAAAATTATTTTTCAATTATATATTATAAAAATTATAATTATATAATTAAAAAAATATATCTATATAATTTTATAATGTTTTATATAAAATTTATAGTTTTAAATATAGTTTTAAAAAGAAGTATGTATTTATTACATTAATAATATATTTAGAATTATGGTTGAAAGTAGTAAAATATAATTTTTATTTGTATGCTTAAACTTTTTTAATTTTTTACTTTATTTGATATTGTAATATTTTTTTATAAGTGACCCATATATGAATAATTAATTAGAATAAATTAGAATAAATGTTAACCATCTTATAAATTAATTATATATATATATATATATATATATATGTTTTTTGCATAAATTAGAATAATAATTATCAACTTGAAAATAATTTATATTTAATATATATATATATATATATATTCTAAAATATAATTTTATTTTATTTCTATAATATATATATATATATATATATATATAAATGAAAATAAGTTATATTTTGGAATGTATATTTTATATTATAGTAATTAATATAAATTATATTTTAGAATATATATATATATATATTAGTTAGTTTTGCTTTCTTATCAAAATAAAAAAAATCTATTTAGGATTAGATAGCGGTTATAGATTTAACCGCTATCTAAAACGTATTTTAGATAGCGGTTGTCCATTTAACCGCTATCAAAAACATGTTTAGATAGCGGTTAATGTGGAACCGCTATCATATAACGTGGATTAGTGATTCTTGCATAGTGAGGGTAAGTTGGACATTTTAATTTGTCCAGGGGGCTTTCATCTCATTTCTTCGTGCATCAGCGAAGAACCTTTTTCTCCTATCTCCTGCTTTTCCTCACTTTTATTTCGTCGTATTTTGGTTCAATCAAACGTCATCTTCGTGTTTCTATATTCGTAAACCGTATATCAGTCGAAACAAACAAACAGAGCGTTACTGTGTTACCAAAATGTGTGTTTTCCTCATTTTCTTTCTTTATACTATAAAACGATCTTTACGGTAAGCAGACATGACCTCTTCTATGTTCATGAATAAATCTTTACGATCTTTCAAAATAAATTTTATTTTGACAAAAAAATAGTTATATTAAAGTTAATAAAAAAAATAATAGTTTGAGAAAATGATTAATTTTTTTAGCTGTATATTCTAAATTATGATTAATTATCAGCGTGGACGCGCTTTTAATTTTTTCTATTTCTAAGGAAATAAAGTCCCCGAAAAACAAAATTAAAACAACAACTCAGGCAGAATAAGACATATAAAATAATAGGTTAGAATTTGATTACACGTAGTCGAAAAAGTAACAGACCAAAATCCTGGAACATTAACATCTATGGAAAACTGAAAGAGATAAAATGAGGGGCAAAGTCAAAGACACGCAAAACAAAGTGTTTTGAAGAGGAAGACAATACAAACTTTCATTCCATTTTACAGAGCATTCAATCATCGTCATCACAATGAAACTGAAGCCGCGTTAGATACTATACTCGCAAACAACCAACATCTTCACATAACCCCACACTTTCCTTCCACCCTCCTTTTTCTTTTCCTCTCTCTCTCTTCAGCGGCTCTTACACACCATATATCACTTCACCACTCTTTTGAAAATGTTCATATTCCGTTCTCACTTTTGGACATATAAAAAATACACTACAACTTTTCATGTGGTAATTTGCTAGGAGGACAAAGGTGACTGAGCAACTCAACACTGCAACTATGAGAACAGCACTTTTTCTTTATATTCGCTCATCATTCATTATGTTTGTTACTTTGAATTTTTCCTTGCTTGCATAGCTACTTTATATTTAATTAAATTAAACTGGCCCCCCTTAAATTTATTATTTTATACATACATACATACATATATATATATATATATATATATATATATATATATATATATATATATATAGCTGTATGCAAGATTAAGGTGTGTTTACTTATTGGGGTTCCCTGGCTCTAAGTCCTTGAGAGGTGGGTGTAGCTTTTGGGAGGGTTGACATGGAGGAACGGTATGAGCCATTGAAGGAGCTTGGTTCTGGGAATTTTGGTGTGGCCAGGTTGGCCAAAGACAAGAAGACTGGAGAGCTTGTCGCGGTCAAATACATAGAAAGGGGTAAAAAGGTAAACTTCTTTTTGCCAAATTGTTTCACTTGCAGTGAAATTTCATTGACTACTACCGACTACTCACTAATGCTGTTCTTGGCTAAGATATTTTCTTTGCATTGATTGATCTTTTTCTGAGCGATCTGAATTTGGACGCTGCCAGTTTTGTTTTGTGTCTTCGTCTGCACGTTTATGAAGTATGAGATGATATCTCTGGACCATGTTTTCAAAATCTTAAATCTAATGTTCAATGTTTCATAATATCAATATGAATCGAGGTACAATAACAATGGTTGGATTTTGGAAACTGTTAAGCAGAGGAGCTGTTTTTCCTGGTGATAATACTTCCTTCCTCCTTGTATTTCTCAAATAGTCAACTCTCTAAATTTACAGTGTATTCCACTGATTGGTAGTTTCCATAAGAGTCTACTTCTGTATCATCTCAAAGAAAATTCTAGAATCATTATGCTGCGACACATCGGGTCTCCAAAGGTCACTTTGTATTTCCTGCGATCAATTAAAACCCATTTGTTTATTTCTTCTTTTTAAATTTAAGTACAAATAAAAAAAATTGAATGCTATAGTTCCTTATAATGTCTTTTGCCATTCTTGTTTTGAGCGTCCTTTGAATCTGGACTGCATTTTATACCTAAAGCTGATGCATGATGAATTTTAGTCTGGGATGTACATTAAATTATAGAATTATTTTTGTTGTTCTCTCTATGAAGCTTACATCACTATTCTCAACGAGAAGCTTATTATCAAAGCTTAATGGAATAACACAAATTTTCTTTTGATATAGTTTAGTCCAAAATCTTTTTCATGTGTTTTTCTTCTGAGTGAGGTATGTTTGTGGTCCCAGATTGATGAGAATGTTCAGAGGGAGATAATTAACCACCGATCATTAAGGCATCCAAATATAATCAGGTTCAAAGAGGTAAGAGCTTACTTTTCTTCCTCAAACTACCCCTATGTCAGATTTGAAGGGAAATTGGGCATCTTGAGTTAAGCAAATGGTTATCTGCTTTATTTTTGTACTAGCAACTATCATGTTACACTCTGCTCGAAACAATTTTTCTCGTAATTATATTGGATTGTGTAATCTGTAGTTCCCTCTATAATGAGTTGTAATTGTTGACATAATGTGCCCAACGTCATGTGGTGTGTTGCATCATTGCTAAAAGTAATGGGGCCATAATCATTTGCAGTCAGACAAACCGTTTCCATAATTCAAATTGATGTGACATTCTGTACATAATATTTTAGGCAGTATTCCTTCAGCGAATTAAGCAAGCCAAGATCATCTATTTGAAATTGTCTGCAGAAATCAATTGGACCAGTACCTTCAAGATAAACCATCAAGAAGTCAACAAACTAACCTTTTCCAATTAAACTTGACTCGTACCATTAGAAAGGAGCAAACCCTTCTTTAATGCAGTAATTTGTTTACCTATCCTTCTGCATGGACTAAGATCAAATTTTGCTCCAGTTAGTCAGTCTAGCTTGATGACTTTTTCTATTCAGGGCTTTCTGAATTCACGTACAACAAAATGCTGAATGAGATATATTTTCTGTAGGTCTTGCTGACCCCTACACATTTAGCTATTGTCTTGGAGTATGCTTCAGGTGGTGAACTTTTTGAGAGGATATGTACTGCTGGCCGATTTAGCGAAGATGAGGTTGTAGAATCTCTAGTGTGGTTGATTTATCTATTCTTTATCCTTTCATGTAATTCGTTTACAGGAATAAGGTACATGTTCATATTGAAATTTACAAGTGAGTGAATTCCCTGCATTGCAGGCAAGATATTTCTTCCAGCAGCTAATATCCGGGGTTAGCTACTGTCATTCAATGGTATGCACTCAGAACTCATTCTGTTCTTGATTACAAAGTTCATCTCTTATATCATGTTATACTGCCTATTTCAGGAGATCTGTCATAGAGATCTGAAATTGGAAAACACTCTCTTGGACGGAAATCCATCTCCTCGACTTAAAATTTGTGACTTCGGTTACTCCAAGGTTAATTTAATAGCATTCACCTGCATTATGTTCTTTGGAGATATATCATATCTCACATACTTTACATTATAGCCAGTACTCATATGTTTCTTATAACTTTTGTTGACTGTCCTATCTAATTCAACATGTAATTGTAGTCTGCTCTATTGCACTCTCAACCAAAATCAACAGTTGGAACACCTGCATACATTGCTCCAGAGGTTCTGTCTCGAAAGGAGTACGATGGAAAGGTAAAGAGACTGTGTTATTCCCCTGAGGACCTTGAAAATAATGCCAAGTCACAATACATGGCAATTGAAAGTCATGTTTCATGCATTGACAATTGAAACCATTGCGACTTTCATTTAAAAGTTCATCACTCGATCCCAGACTCAAATTCTTAAGCAAATTGGCATTCTTTTTTTTAGATTTCAGATGTTTGGTCCTGTGGTGTGACTCTTTATGTCATGTTAGTTGGTGCATACCCATTTGAAGAGCCAGAAGATCCTAGAAATTTCAGAAAGACTATTGGGGTGAGCTCTCGTTAGTTGTTCAACTTAACGGTTCTTTGTGATTTCTTACCTAAGAGAAAACTTAAACTTTATTCTCTGGTTGATAGAGAATAATTGGTGTTCAGTACTCCATACCCGACTATGTTCGTGTTTCTACTGAGTGTAGGAATCTTCTATCTCGCATTTTTGTTGCCGATCCTGCCAAGGTATATATTTCTAATTTTCTAAATAACAATTATATATGAAGATCTATTATTTTTAAACACTTCATCAACCCTTATCATTTATCTTTATCACTCTTTCTATCATATCATAACACTAACAAAATTTATATTTATATTTTTTTTAAGCGTCAATGGGTTGATATTTAGTATTTTAGGTGTTCTTATATAATTTTCTTCTGCAAAAGCATACAGACACTATAGTCATACAACCTGTAATGTAAGAATTACAATATTTCAATGTAATGAATCTTAGATAAATCCATATTTCACATTAAATATGGAAATAGTACGGATTTATCTAACTCATAGCAACTCACATTGATTTTGTTCTGGAATAATGAGAGTCTCCCCATTTTACAATCTAACTATTTATGATCCTTGTCAAAGAGGATCACCATCCCAGAGATAAAACAGAATCCTTGGTTTCTGAAGAATTTGCCTAAAGAGATTATCGAAGCAGAAAGAAAAGGATTTGAGGAAACAAAGAAAGACCAACCATGCCAAAAGGTGGAAGAAATCATGAAGATCATACAAGAGGCAAGGGTACCAGGACAAGGATCCAAAGCTGGTGATGGTATTGGTGGGCAAGGTGGTGCTGGATCATTAGATATTGAGGATGATGAGGAAATTGATGTTAGTGGTGAATATGAACATGTGTGATTGAGACCTTCATTTGTCGATGGCTATAGACAGCATTATTAAGATTTATCACACTGTGCAACACTGGTGTTCTAAAGATACTTATTTTACCAAGCTTGAAATAGGATGTTGTGTTTATTAAATGAATAATATTAAGAAAAGGCTGCTATTGGTTATTAGTTTCAGTAAGTTCAAAATTAAAAATGATTATCATTTATTAATATAAAAATATTTTTTATTCTTTTTATTGAATCATTTTATGATTATCGTGTTAATATACTCAGTTGTGCAATGATTATCAATTTGATGCTAGTTATCTATAATGGAGACTTTATTTAAACGACATTTAGTAGTTGAGATGAAGATATGTATCATCTCTTGTACCTCACGTATTAAAACGTTTAAACTAATGAGGATTTTGAACCCGACGTGAATCGAACACGCAACCTTCTGATCTGGAGTCAGACGCGCTACCATTGCGCCACGGATCCGATTTTGATTGTAAATTTACTATTTATATATATAACTATAAACTATACAAATGTTCATAATGTTGACCTGAATCCATCTTTCAAAACCCTTTCTGAACAAATTGTCAATTAGGAACAGGAACACACATGAATTAAGTAGACGTGAAATAAATAATTTATCTATGAACATTCAATAACTTTCCATTTACTTTATTTTTCATTTGCAACATGCTATTTTATGTCTTTTCAAATCAACCACATTATTTTGTGATGATTATAATATAAAAAAAATACACGACTGTGGGTGTTATTTTATTATAAGAAATCATTAATGAAGGTTTTAAAGAAATAAAATAAACAATCTAATTTATTTAAGTACAATAATAAACAAGAACAATTTTTTTATATCCATTTGCTTTAGTCGGTTATATTTTTAATAAAATATTTTTCCAAGTGTATAAAAATTAGATTACTTCTCCAAATTTGACACTCTGAAATATCTACAATTATAGATTATAATCAATGTTGCTACTACAATCCAAGTCAATGTCTAATTATAACAAAACACAACAGCATCACATATAAACATAAAAGGTCTAAATATGTCACTTTCTCATTTTTCTCATTTTGGCCTAATCTATTATCCTCCCCATAATCTATGTATGCCTTTTCTTCTTCTCCCCTGCCTAACTTCCTTCTCATCCTCTCTTTGCTCTTTCTTTGGTCAAGAATTTGAAAGTTATGATGTTACTCAAAAAATTGTGAAATAATTAATCACTATTATTCAAAGAAAATATGTTTTTTCAAACATTTGATCTCATTCTTTTCCATTTCAGTAGTCATCAATCACGCTCTCAACTCCAAAGTTAGAAGTCAAATCACATTTTGGCGGTGAAGAAATCGATCTTTTGATAGAAAGCCGAAACGCTTAAACCACTGAAAAAAAATACTCAAGTGAAGAACTGTACGTGCTTAACACTAAAATAATACCTGAAAACCCCGGAGAATCTGAGGAGAACATAATCATGTAAAAACCCGTTGAAATTGTCGACTACAAAAAGCGATTGGTCTGGCCCAGAATTCTTTGTAAGCCTTCCCAACCATTGGGAGTGGAAAAAAGAATCACTGTTTTGGTTATTGCTGGGAAAATTTCAATGCTCCCCACAATGGCTGGAACAATGTCAACGTGACCATTTTAGAACCAAAGCAAAGTCAGCTTGAAACAATTCTTTGGTTTGAAGGTTTTATAGGTATGTTGTTCTGCTTTAGCCAAGACAATGGTGTTTCTCTGTCCCCCACTTAAATCAATGTTTATTTTATTCACATTTGCTTCAAGTTGCCAAAGGATTCAGAGAAAGGGAACACATAAGTTACTGCCAACCAAAGTCAAAATGCAAACAAGCTTATAATAATTTCTATGTTTAACTTATTCTACACATGTTGACAAGTACTTTAGCAGAAACAATCAAGCATCGTTATTATATATTATTATTATTACCTTCTCTTGGTTTAAAATGGCTCCAAAGTTGAGGCTTTATCTTGATAACAGTCACTGTTTACAACTCTTGTTTGGCAACTGGCTAATGGAGGAGTGGTGATTGAGTCTAAAAATAACTAAATGGGGCTCTGAACACTCTAATGATTGTCATTTGGTTAGTTGAAACTGATACTGTTTGCATGGTTAAAAGAAATTTGCTAATAACAACATGATTGTCAAATACATTTGACACATTCTTTTTTGTAGTTTCACTACGAAGATAGTGATTTGAAAGTATATTATGAAATATTTTGAATTGGAGAATTAAAAAAAAAAAAGGATGAATGGATGTCAATATATATATATAATTTTTTAAAATTTCAAAATTTAAAATATAGTTTTATAATTTCAGTGAGATTAATCTAAAATGTTAAAAAAATACAATTCGAAAATAATTTTTCATATATATAATTAAAATTTAAGATTCATTCCTTCATCTACTTTTCAAAACTTATTTTACGGTAACATCTTTGGATGAACAAGGAAAGAATGTGCCTAGTTTTTTTAAGCCCAAAATGAATTCAGCCTCTCCTTATTTGGGTTACTCTCTCATCTGTCAAAGCTAGGAATGTTAACCAATAATGTAAACAAACCCTAATTTCAAACCATGCAAAGTTTTCTAACCTATGTAATTTAAATCAATTATATATATATATATATATATATATATATATATATATATATATATATATATATATATATTAGTTTTCAAAATTTCTAAACACACCCTTACTTTTAATTAAGCAAAAAGAAGACCATAACTTATGGGACAGAAAATAAATTTTGATCATAATTTATTTTATTTTCACCTTTGAAAAATATAAATGATCACAAATCCAATTAAATGATCAATTTTGAGTTTTATTTTTGTTGAAGTAAAAAAGATTTTTTATTGTGTCTGAGATATGTAACTTACTTGTTAATTTTTTATCAGCATAAACTATAAAACTTATATCTTTAATCATAAGACTTATATCTTCTTGCCTGAGATTTTTTAGGGTTGAAATGCAAGTGAATCACAAATTTGATATCATCATGTTTAAATATATAAAATTAGGGAGGTCAAAATAAAAAAAATTAGATATTTAATAATAATTTTAACAAAATCGTAATTCCCGTAAAATCATGACAATTCTTTTTTAACCTTAAATAAAATAATTTGAGAGTGTTGGTATATAATATTTAAAAATGTATATATAAGTTCTCGTACAACCATGACAATTTGATGTGAAGTAACTCTCAAAATTTTGAAATTTGAACTAAAACAAAAATTGAAGGAAAAAATATCCAAATTTCTTTTCTTTGTCCTTCTTTCCCTTATCCATCTTTTCAACCAAAAAACAAAATCCTTTATTTCAATGATTTTCTTTGAAGGTGTTCAAATTATCTTAATCTATTGTGTTTTCATCAATTATTAATATTTTATATAATTATCTATAGATAATTATTTTTATAATTAAAGTATTTGGCAAGGGATTATATATTTAATAATTTTAACTATTAAATAATTATTTAATAATTCTAATAATTATAATGACGAAATAATATCATAAACAATAAATTAATTTGATACCATGATTAGGAATTAGAATAAATATATAAATTTTTTTAACTAAAATAAAATATGAGAAACAAAATTAACAATAAATAATAAAAAAATAAGAGAAATACTGGGGATTTTGAAGACAAACACTAATATATCATTATGACGTGAGAATTATCTTCTAATGTTCTCGGATAAGGACACCCTAAAATACAAAATGTAGTGGGAAGCAAGAAAGCTTGTCTCGCGGAATGACAATGTTGAAGTGGTGTCCTCAGAGAGTGATAAATAACTGGTGAATGTCAATAAGACAAAATGGAGGATTGAAACAAATACAAAAGTACATCAAATAATAATTTAAAGCACCAAAAGGAAAGTTATAAAAATAATTACAAAAAAAAAATTGATATTATGAGAATTCTATATTCAATCACTTTAAGTATTGAAAATAAATAAATAAATAATTTTTATTTTATAAATCTAATGTGCAAAACACATTTATACATAAAAAAGAAAATCTAGAAACAAATTACGAAAAGATTAAACAAAAACTCATGAAAAATACAAGAAATTAAACAAAACCAAAAATTCATAAAGATCATTATTTTTTTAAACAAATGCATAAATTATAAAATTAATTAAGATCATACATTCACCTATTAAAACTTGGTTTATGCTTAAAATTAAGATTAACTAAAGAATATGTCGAAAGGGTTTTTCACAAGAGAGTTTAAAGAACATTATAAACATTATTGATGATTAAGAAAAGGCAAGGAGGTTATAAAAAAACCTAGAATGAGTTGCTACAAGAAATGTCATCTCTCTATCTGTCATTTCAGACCTCATTAATTTATATTGGTCTGAGTGTGTATAGGGCACTATCTTGGCACTATTTTAATCTTCAGTCTTAGACAAAAGTATATATATTTTAACTTTTATTGAGAATGTTATTTGTACATAATGAGAAAAATAAAAAAAAAATTATTATAGAAATAACTGTACAAGACTCTTTCTCTCCTATTTGAATTCCATGCATGCAGAAAGAAAATCATGAGTTTACTTGATATTAAACACCAAATAGGAAATCCATGACTTAATAGATAAATTATCAAAAATTTACGATGGTATGATCGAATGTTCTTCAAGAGTCTATGGACAAATTGATTCACTTCAAAAAAGAGTGTGTAGGTTTTATCCTTTATTTTGTTATCATTCCCGACATTTGCAGAGGAAGTTAACGAGACTTTATATATATATATATATATATATATATATATATATATATATATATATATATATATATATATATATATATATATATATATATATATATATATATATATATATATATAGTGAACCACGTCAAGTCAACTATGCTATCTGATAACTTTAATATTTTCTTTTGTTGGAGCAGACACTGATTTTAACACACATATAGAATCGTACACTCAACTTTTTCTTGCATCTAGCATTTTTATCTTTCTGCATTCTTTATCACATTATTTGGCACTAATTTAAATCCTCTCCGTCTACATCAACACTTTCCATTCAAAATCCCAACTATCAATTATGTTCTCTTTATTGCTTGATGACAAATTCAAGAGTTTTACAATTATCAATTTCTTTCTCTTTTTTATTTTTTTTCTCATTATTTCTATGGGTTTAACATTCTCCAAAACTGTGTAGATGTTGCTATAAGAATGAAAAAGCCAAGGTTTCATAATTTTCACTCATTCGTACCAATTTCCATTCGAGGACAAAGCATTCATCAATCTTTTTGGGAGCTCAGGGTTGTGACCCCCAAAGTAATTTATGATTTTGCTTCCTCAAAACTTAATGAATATTTAATATATTTACAATTTTATCTTCTCAATCCCTTCTCAATTTTATAACTCTCATATAATTTATGATTTTGTCTCACTCAAACTTAATGATCATTTAATATATTTAAGTATATATTTACAATTTTATCATTTCACATTTTCATCTTCTTACTTCATTTTATATTTATATTTATTTATTATTTATTAATAATTTATTATTTATTAATAATATATTATTGAAACCGTGAAGATGATCAATGGTGAAGATTTCTAGACCTCAAATGCTCATATACCTAACTTCGTCTGTGGTGCGCACCATATGACATGCCCACCTGTACGATCCAATGTGAAAGCCTTTTGATTGGTAAAATTATTAAAACTTATGTTCATTGATATAGATTCAGTTTTTGAAATTACTACAAAAAAATTCATCCAATCCTATCTTCTAAAGGCCAATAATATCAAATAGTTTTACGAGGTAACTGCAGTTAGCATAATTTTTTGTTTAAAAATGATCTTAATTCTATAGAATTTGCTGTTTCTGACACGCTTTAAGTCACATAATTGGATAACTTTTTACTCATGGTGATATAATGTATAATTAATGTATAATAAGACGCTTTCTTCTGTAAATTTAAGAAATTTTTGCATTCCTCGTGCGTTTGCAGTCTTGTGCCCCAGTCTGGGATTTGATAGGGTGGCTAGCTTGATCCTTAATTCAACCTATCTTTTCCAAAGATACTGAAGAGATTGCTAAACTAAACCCACTCTAACCTGATTTTTGACCCACCATTTCACTTTTGACGTGGTACAGAAATGACACAAAGATAGAAGTTATTTCAGTACTATTCAAAAGACTGCAGGTTGCGCCAGGATTGGACTTCAACTCAATTCAATGTTTCCCACTACTAAAGAATCATTGTTGCTTCAAGAGTTTGCTGCCTCTTTCTATGATATATAATAGCGGCATCACCAATGCAACGTTCTTTCAGAATGTCCCTTCTGTCGCTTTCCCACGACATACAATAATAGCGAACAATATTTTCTTGTTAATTCTGCCCAATTGCATTGCTTGCTTCAACTAATGCACTTGAATTTCCACCTTGGTTTGCAAGTTGTGTACACTTGAATTCACTTCATCACCAACAACACTTACACCACTCATCTCAATCTCCTCTGCCTCAAAAGTGTTGTGGACGCCATAGAGCACATAGAAGATGGTAATGAGGCATGCCCATATGGCAAAACGTTGGAAAGAAAGGGTTTTGAGTGTGGTCATGAGGAAAACGTTAAGAAAGATGGACATGGAGGGTGGCCATGGCATGAATGGCACGGACCAATGTTGCGGTTGTTGAGCATGTTGGGCAATGGTAGTATTAGGCACCACGTGTTGATAGAAGGCAGTGATGGCGATCATAAACCCACCAAAAAGTACTAGACCCCACCATTGCTGCTTAAATTTCCACACAATGGAGAAGCATAGTGCACTTAGAGAAAGGAGAAAGAGGAACAAAAGAGTGTGCGAAGGTGGGGCATGGCCAGTGATTACGTATCGACGGTATATAAGAGCGTTGGCTACCATGTAGAACACCAACAGTGTGCCAATGCTTATCAACTCAATTATAATGTCAAGCTCTGTGAATAGTGCAATAGATGCTGTGCAAATTCCTACACCAACAAGACAAAAGTTAATATATATCTGTGTAAGGAATCCTTCACATTTCCCTTTATCTTTCTTGTTTTATTTTGTTATTTAATCTCCACCTTCTCCTCTTATATATGTTTTCTTGTATAATGTTTTCATAATATGATATTTGTGCGTTAAGATCTAGCCAAGCTCTTTAACTTTAGTTACCCAATCAACATTTCATATTCCTTCATAAAACTAATATTAAAAATATAAAACATAATGAAAATACATAATGCTTTATTTCAATAATCATTAAAAATAATGTACATCAAATAAAGTTACTGATCTATGTTTAGTTTAACTTGAAAGTTGAGACTAATATAGAAAACTAGAACTAATGGATATGAAGAAATTCATTAGTGTCGAAGTTATGAATAATGGATATACATATGAATGTGTTTCAGCTTTTGAAATAAAAAAAATATTTAAAAGTAAATTCAGAATTTTATTTGAGAAAAAAAATGAGATGGAACTTTCTATACACAGATTATAATTGCATTTGATAAAAGTTATTTTGACACATTTTTACTTATTCTTAAATTTATATACATAAAATTTTATAACTCAGGACATATAAAACATTATTTGTCATTAAAATTTCACCAATATATATCTATTAACTGATAATCATATTCTCGTGTTGTACATATGTACACATTAAGTTTAAGAGATAAAAAAAAACTAAAGGAGAAAAATGAAAGATGGGATAAGTAATAGAATGTGACAAGAGACAAATTAAGATAGATGAGAGGTGAAGGTATTTTAAATAATTATTATTAATTATGTACCATTAAAAAGAGAATCCCAGTGTCTATTTTTTTCATCTAAAGTTGCCTCTGTTAACTAATTATGTATAGTTTTATAAACAAACTTGGCATTAATAATTGATAAATATTTTGTATTCAATTGCTATTAGTTATCTTCAATCATTTTGATTTCTCATTCTCAAATTATTATTTTTTCTATTACTTTTAGTGAAAATTAAAAATACAATTTTAGTGACGACATAGTTTCAACCAATATATATTATGTGGAATGAAGTTATTGAGAGCCGAATGCATCCTTTCTACAGCAATGTAGGGAGAAAGACAAAAGTAATGTTTAAAAAATGTAAGTCAAATAAATTACTTGATACAAAAAATGCCTTCAAATTAAAGTTTATATCGTGAATGAGAGAGAATCATGTTGATTAGGCAATGAAGATGGAGATAAGAAAATAAAAGCCTTGATCAAGATAAAATTTGGTTGAGTATGCGGTTATTTCATTTAAGAAATGCCTTAGTTAGCCAAAATTATAACTATATTTTATTGCAGAATACTGAGTCATTTTCCGTGTCACTACACATTATTATATGCATGACAATCAAAAGTGATGGTCAGTTTCAGTATCGTCAGGTGTGTGAGTACAATAACATTTATAAGAAAAGTGCATGTTGAAGTGTCTTCGATTCTTCTAGAGAAAAAAGACAAATGTTGAAATGGCTAGAGCTTCTTTCTTTTGGTTAATTAATTAAGACACAGAGACAATTTGCTTACCCAAAAAGACCGTGGCATTCAATGGTGTGCCTGTTGAAGGGTGTACTTTGGCTAACCAAGATGGTACCAACCTTGCCCTTCCAATAACACAAAGGTATCTTGCTTGGCCTAACATGGCAACCAAGAGAGAAGCCACTATGCCCAAACTTGCACCTGCCCCGACTAGGTTGCTTGCCCAACTCCAACCAACTTTTAGAAAAGCTATTGAAAATGATGCTTTCTCTGATATCTATATCAAACCATAGGATTTAACTTTATCACTAACATAACATATATTATATTATATAATATGATGACTAAAGTTAAGGTCCGTTTATTCAAGCCTACTAAGGAGTTTAGAGGCTTAATCATATGACACTATCACACTTGTTGTTTGATATACTATACTGACCTTGTTGTAAGGAGTCATCATGCACAAAGACAGAGACATTAGGCAATAGAGCAAAGTGGTTATAAGAACTGAACCCACAATTCCAATGGGTAGGCTCTTAATAGGGTCTTTGACCTCCTCAGCCATGGTTGAAGCGGAGTCATAGCCTATATAACTGAAATAAACTATTGCTGCTCCATCAAGAACACCTCTAACACCAAAAGGTGCTAGACCTTTTGGATTAACCAAGTTTTTGGCACTTCCATTGCAATAACCAGCGATTATGATGAATCCAAAGAAAATCACGTGGAAGGCTGTCATAATGAGGTTCAACATGGAGCTTTCCTTTGTACTGCAATCGACCAAAATATAGCAACAGAAAAGAAGAATAAAACAAGCATTTTCAAAATTCCACTGAACGCAGACGAACATTAAAAAGTGTAAATAATTAATGGTTCAGCATTATGATTAAAAAAAGTAAAATAGGGTAGTAAAGTAATTTGTTAACAGGATAACATATTAAAATGTTTATCCAATGAAAAATGGATGACTAAACTGATAGATAATAAGCAGATAGCATCACAACAAGAACAACATATTCGCAGCAGAAGAAAAAAGGCAAAGAAATATTAGAAATCAATCAAACCTATGACACAAAAAGAGAGTGAGAATAAGAATGACTGCCACAGCTGGAAAATCCAACATGTTATAGTCCTTCGGCAAGCCATGGACTTCGACTCTCCACACATTTGGATCATTTTCTCCAAACGCAATGCTCAAATATTCTGTAAAGCTCCTTGCTACGGCAGCGTTTGAGAACACATACTCCATTAGTATATTTGCCCCAGCAAAATATCCCAAGAATTCCCCTACACATGACACATAACTAATTGGTTAATTCCAAAAGTATACTACTGTATATAGTAAACAAAAATCCAATGGAACATAAGGGTTTTGTACCAAAGGTTAATCTTAAATAACTGAAAGCTCCTCCTGCAACTGGGACTTGAACAGCAAATTCAGTGTAACACAAGGAGGAGAGAAGGGCTGAAATTCCTGCTATGATATAGGAAATGAAGACTGAAGGACCAGAGTGGTGAAGGGCAACAGAGCCAGTAGTGACAAACACACCAACACCAAGCATTCCTCCAACACCAAGAGCAACCAGATCATACCACCTGAGCTTCCTCTTCATGTCAGCCCCAGATCTGTGCCTGACTTGGTTGAACTCCTGGTCTGGGGTCCATGTGGCTAGCATTCTTTTTCTGAGCCTGTGAGGGGTTTGGGATAGGGAATGCAAATAAGTTGACAACTTTTCCATGCTGTTGGTTGCAGTGTGGATGTTGGACATTATTAATGTCTATATGCACTTAGCTTCTTGGCTTCAATAAGGAGTGGATTGAAGGTTTTAAATAAGATGTTGGGGGAGGGAATATAGCTATGCTGGTTGCTTTCCGAACTGTAGTTGATAATTAAGATGGCCTAGCAATGTCCCTGGCCTAGTTCTGACCAGAAATTATTATATGAATCATGGGACCCATGCTCCCAAACAATTCCAACATGACCGTAATCTGTAATTAATTAAGAATAAATTATTTCAGTAAATAACATCAAAATGTAATTCTATTTCTGAAGACAGAAATAGTTTATGGCTAAGATTTAAAACCTAGAAGTAGCAACTAATGAGATTGGTGAATTCCCACGTACTTTTTGGATGCGAGCATCCAACGCGAAGAACATAAGAAAAGAATAGGGAAAAAGTGATTTATTATTGAAGAAAATGGTAGCTTTGTAAGGGGAATATGACAATATGAAGAGGAACTTTGACCTAATTCTTTAGAATTTTCCCTGGAGATGAAACAATGAAAAGATGTGAGAAGCATCCACAAAAGCACCGAAAGATTTCTCTTCACTAAGACTCAAGAATAGTTGGACATGATTCTTGGGTACAAAAAATATCACATTGTGCAGTGCGTGGCCACTAATACAGTTGCGAATGGTGCTTGTGTGGTATTAATTAGAGAAAGGAAACAAATGACCGTTCTTTATTAGATGGAATCATTCTCCATAAATAGTTAATTTAGCAGTCTCCCACCATTTCCCATATTTTCCAGTATAATCATCTATCCAAGAACGACACACCAATTTATTATATATATTTACCCTTTTCAATTAAGCTTCAAATCTACCTTCCTTTTTTTCTTTGAAGGATTTAACTATCAGTGATGAAATTCAAAGAGGTTCATCTTTCTCTCATATGCTCATAACAAGTGTAAATTTTAATATGAAAATAAATTAATTTAAGTTTAATTATATATGTCCTACTCCTTTTGCTTACTGGACCACCAAGCCTCATTAAGATGTACTGTTTGACTTCAATAAACTTTAGGTTTCGTTTTAGTTTAGAAAGGAAAGATATTCATGAAAAAAAAATATTTTTTTTTACGTTAATTGTATAAATAATGTTCCACAAAGATTGAATTTTTACATATCTAATTCCATCATCAATCCTTTCTCCACTTTCACTTATACAAAACAATATTTTAGATCGAGTGTATATAGTTCATAAAATTAAAATTTACATTATTCATATATAATATTTTTTTATAGTACTATGTTTTATATTTTTTTCCGACAACCATCATCATCGTCATATATACTATCGTTTTTAAATTATGATACAGAGAAATTATATAAATATAATACCTAGTGCACCTTACGCAGCATCCAATTAAAGTATCGATCACAAATATTTAGCTTACGTCACAACACATGATATAATTCAATTTGCATGACCAGCATGCCATGATTCTCTTCTAAGTAAAGGTAGCAAAACCTTCGGTTACAAATAAAATACACATTATTTGTTCAAAAATTCCAACTTATCAATTTGCAAATCCCTGGTAAATTATTGAAATTTGATATCTTAGCATATCCGGAATCTAATCCAATTCTTCATTCGTGTGACATTATCTAGATTTTATGTTAATTACTTGCAAGAATGAACCAATAATATATATATATATATATATATATATATATATATATATATATATATATATATATATATATATATATATATATATATATATATATATATATATATATATATATATATATATATATATATATATATATATATATATATATATATATATATATAGTCTAGTAATTTTATGAGTCGTGTAGGGTATATACCTGTATAAGCTCTCCTTCCCAACCCCTTACGGAATTCTGAGATTAATAGTTCTTCTTTATCCATAGCATTTACAGTATAAAGCTTGATGCTTATCCTTAGGGTTCAGTCGGTGCATTTACCCCAATTGGAGTAATTAATTGTTTCAATTTTCTGAATTTTCAAAAGAACAATCATTTATTTGGAATCCGTTATAGCAGTTAACAGTTAAAGTTAACAACTTTTATTTATTGATTTACACAAGTCAATTTGTGCTTTTCCCTATTAGAAAACAGAATATTTAGTGGCGGCATGACCAAAATAATGCACCACATAATAAGGTCATTGGTCGTCTATTTTGTAAACCTTTCCACTCACCCACTTGTAGTGGGAAAATGGTATTTCTTTTAAAGTTTTTGTACAATTACATAAATCATATTTCATCTGAAAAAAAAAATATCCATCAAATATGCTACGATGATATGATTAGTTTCATCACCGTATTTGATATATTATATGGAACATCAATCTCTTCATAACTTGTCATATAGAAAAGACTTATTTAATTTCACTAAACATAAATATATATATATATATATATATATATATATATATATATATATGTGTGTGTGTGTGTGTGTGTGACAGAAACAATATTAAGTATCTCTTCTCAGCAATGACAAATCACATATGTTACTTTCACATTGATGATTAGGTTAGTTAAACATACAAAATCACCAAACTTATTTATTTGACTAAACTCGATAAACAAGATTTTTAAAACCTAAATTTTGGATCACTCACAATAAACATTTTTCTAATACATACAATCCATACTTTAATAAAATACAACAAAAAGAATATTCTAACATTCTTTTATTTGGACAATATAAATTATGTTTTATTTATTTTAAAATTTAATATGAAAACTACTAGATTAAACAACTATAATTACGTAAACAATATAAATATAATCACCATAGAAACTAACAAAATTATGAGGCACATAAGTAAAATAAAATATTTAAAGCTTAATTCAATAATAAATACATAATTAATAACTTTATTGGTATGATCACATTGTCCTTATGCTTGTGTTTAGATGTTTTTCATACAAAAAAATTATTGCATTGTAAATACCTTTCATTCGTCCTTTACTGCATTAAAATAGATTTAAACGATCCTCAGCTTAAAAAGCTCATGTAATTTAAATTAAATCAAATTTATTTTAGTACATATCAAAATTTCAACTTATTTTGTAAAATAATAATAAATTTTTAAATAAAAATAAGTTAATAGTATTTATTAAAAATATATATTATAAATTTATTTTAATAACGGATTCATTTATCATAAGAATATACGATTGTTTTCAAGATGTTAAAATTAATTATTTTAGATACAAAAAATAATGAGATAATAAATAATATTTTTTTAATCCTTATTTTGATTAAAAATTTTAATTATTTTAAAAATTTATGTATTAAATCAATATATATTAAATAAAAAATAATTTCATAAATATAATTTAAATTTTTAAAATATATTTATTATTTTAAATTTATTTAAATATTTTTTAATTAATTATTTTAGTATAAATAAATTAATACTTTTTTTAATTAGATTAGACCATACTAAAGATTATAATATATTTTAAAATATATATCTCCCTTCTTTACATATACATTTCATCATAAAACAATCACAACTCTTCGAAGTTTACAAGAAATCCAACCTCAGAATGCATATATAATTTCAAATTCTGCTAAACTTCATCACATTAAAATAAACAAATTATCAAAGTTTAAATAGTAACTAGAACAATTTGATAAAGTCATCACACACTTTCTTTTTATACTTAAAAGAAAAAAATTATTCACAACCATTTAAAAGAAAATTATTTAAAATCTCTGTTTATTAGTATAAGAAATTCATATCTTTTATGTTATTAATTATTTTTTTAAAATTACATTTTTTTTGCAGTATCATAATAAAAAAATTATTTTATTCCTTTTGTTTCACTCTTCACATGTATTACACCTTCTCTTCACTTTTTTCTTCTATCATAATATATAAGTTTCACTCTTCGTTTTCCCATATTCTTTCTCTCATATCACAATAAAAATAATTATTTTTATTTAATAAAGGATAATATACTTTTATAAATGGTGAAAAAAAAATTATAAAATTTTTTTTGTCTTAATATCTTGAATAAAGATCGTTGCTTTTAAAAAGCTAGAGAACTACTTATGTATCCTAGAGAAATTATTTTTTAGTTTAATGGGTTTAAAGGAATTTATAGCAAAGGAAAAAAAAATGCTATACTTTACAATTACTTTTTACTTGTGTTGTCCCTTATCTTCAATTTTATTTAGTTTTTGCTTTAACTGGTATTTATTGTTTCTCATGGTTTATTTTTCCATCTTGTTTATATTTTATTTAAGGAGAAGGATTTTGTTATACTCAAAGAAGATAAACTAGAAACTTAATATTCATTTCATATTATTGGTTTATATTATTAGATTATAAAAAAAATAATGATAAAAATAATAATAAAATTCTAAATCTTAATTTTTTTTGAGTAAATGAATTTCTGCTCTTATTTAAACTTATTTGTTTTACATTATATGATGTTTTTCAATTTATTTTGAGTATTTCCATTCATCTCCTTGTTATGTCATCCTTAATTTTTTGTTAAATCTGTTGATTTTAACTCTCTAATTAAATTTTTGCCTATTATAATCATATTAAACTTCATTAATGACTTGTCGTAAGTTAAGTTTGGGCACTTACAAATCAATGTCAAAGAAAAATGAACTGATAAGCCCATTTAAAAATTTAAAAAATAAATTAAGTTAGATTAACAAAATTGTGATGTAATTAATGAATCAGGCCAATTCTTTGTCTACCATTCAGTCCGCAAATTAGATGGGCTTAGAATTACTATGTTAGTAAGCTTTTGGTGATATATTTATAAAATTATTTCTTCTACATATTTATATTTAGTATATTTTAATATCTGATGGTCAACACTATTATTAATAATAATAAACTCATATCTCCATTGATTTAATAGGGAATAATCTTTAAATGTTGATTTTTTTTTAATTTACAATATTTTATCTTTTTAAATAATAATTACAAATTATTCATTATTCACTAAAATTTTTTAAAGA